AATATTCTAAATTTTCTTCCGGGGGAGCATGCCCACGGACCCCCCAAGAGGGGTAATATCCTTCTCACCTTTTTCACCCCTGACCTGTTTTCATGCCTGATATAAAAAAGAATGGGGATACATTTTATTGACACACACCTATATGTAAATAAATTAATGAATGCACTGGTTGGTGAGCAGATAGGAGGAAGTTCATGTTGGGGAAGTTGGAGGTGTATATTTACAAGTTTGTATGATAATAATGTTGATAGTAACATGGTCAATAAGGTCAAAAAAATAAAATTAAAGATAACAAAAACACATACAATAATAATGAAAAACAATAAAACCAAAACAAAAGTGATCAGTGATAATGTGGTGATAATAATAGCAATGCAATATGTACAACTATGATAATAATCCCAATACTGATAATCTGACTACTAACAATGTTCAAGGATAGTGTGGGTGCAGTCACTGAGTGTGCTCAGACTGATACAGAGAGAGGAAGATAATGTGGCAACCTACAGCGGAGCAGGAGGGTGCGTCAGCCCCTGGCCTACAGCTATCTGCCTGACATCTGCATGTTCACATGTATTTTTGTTGTTTAGTTGAATATTTTGAAGAAAGTTTGTTTGTGTGTCTCGATGGTCTGTGTTTTCTGCAAAGCAGAGATAAACCCTCACAAGGGGTTCTCCAGACACTGGCAGACATCTTTACAATATACAAAACCATGTATGCATCGGTGGATTACAGAGCAGGAGCCGAAGGAAGAGATAGACACACAGGATTAAATCATACACTTCATATCATAGGAAAGCACCCATGTGGACTATGCACTCATTGTAATAAACCCGAAACTGTCAAACATGTGCAGCAGGGAGTTAATATCAACTTGGAAAGAAATCATGGAAAATACATAATCGTTTAATTAATAACTTAAAAACAACAGGAATAATAGAGAGAATTTAGTTTGCTTTATTTATTTTTATTTTTTCCTGCCAATCTGCTGCTCCACACTTCAGTCCAGCCAGTGGCAATAATGCACCCACAAGATGACAGGCTTGTCATAGCTGCTGACTATCTGACTTTTTTCAAAAATAGCGTTGTTTGCTGCTGCTTGTGTTGTAGAGCAGTGTCTGCTGGTAATTGTAGTAATTGCAGGACACACATTGCTTGCAGACTTATAGTCTAATTTGTTTTCGTGTTGGGTGATTATATGGCTGTATTATTCAATTAAATTTTAGTTGTATAGCTCAAAATCATAACAACTGTTATCTTAGGACACATTTCAAATAGAGCAGGTCTAGACCGTACTCTTTAATAAAATTATTAATATAATTATTTACAGAGACGCAACAGTTCCCACCACAATCAAGCACTTGGCAACGGCGGCAAGGAAAAATTTCCTTTCCAGGTTAGACAGAAAGAGAGGGAGAGAGGGGGTAGAGGGAGAGAGGGGTGAGAGGATGGGTGTACATATTGTGTAGGCTATATGGCTGTGTGGCTGTATAGGCATTAAGCATCACTGAAGGTCAAATGCTAAAAGGCGTTTTTATTCATGAAGTAGATGTTTTTGGAGATCTGGATCCATATGTTGACATCAGGAGTGATAGATGAGTCTTGTTCCCAGTTTATTGCGATATTATTCTATATATTTTGGATGGGATTTTTTTTCAGGGAATGGATATTAATTAAATCTAAAGTTGAGTATTGAAGATCTATATTTAGAGGTCATAATGTTAAAGCTGCTGTAGGTAACATTTATATATATATATTTTTTTTTAAATGTTGGCATCTTTGCTGAAACTTTAACTATATCCTGACAGCAGTACACCCTGGGGCATCAAAAACAGACACTTTGGGATGAGGCTTGGTTGTGTAAGGCCATGTTCATTTTTGTGAAGAAAACTAAAATTGTTATATTTCTTATTTAAACCATAAAAAAAGAGTTACAGGCAGACCTGGACACAAGCTAAATTCACAGAGCCTTCACTCACAGCCTCATCCTGCATGAAAGTAAAACAACCAGAGCTAATAGAACAATGGACAGGCATCCAGGAGAAGAAAGCACAGAATTAAGAATTTTGATTCGATTTGATTTTGATTGTTATTAGATTAGAAAATACAAAATATAGACAGAGAATTGTATAAATGTTCCCTAAAAATATCAGGAAAACTAATCTCTGATGACACAAATCTCAATCTCTCTTTATACACTTACTGCAGTTATTGTGTTCACTGTTTGGGTTCAGTTGTTCTCTACTGATATTGTTATTCACTGAATATAATATTGAATATCCATAAAATATGTCACTACAATAGACTAGAGACTGGTGTAGGCTATATGGCTGTATGCGTGATCCAGCATCACTGAATGTCAAATCTTCAATGCCTGCTGGTTTAGTCAAGCATTTTGTTTTTATCCTTTATCTGATCATGTCATCAGCATCCATGGCACTGTCCATGCTGGTGAAATAGCACACCTCAATGTAATCCGCATTTCTCTCTGTTCGCCTATAGGTTGTATAAGGACCCCCTCTGCAATGAGCAATGAGCAATGAGAAGTGGGAAAATGTTGTTGTTGTTGTTGTTGTTTAGATGTTTTTGCAGATCTGGATCCAGAAGTTGGCATCAGCAGTAATATGGAGTGTCTTATTAGAATCGCTTTGCCAACAATGTCTTACCTCAACAGATTTTGGAGAAACTACTTTGGCCTTTCTTACTGTAAATTTACATTTTGGAAATGCATGACACTATACCACCCTACAAAGCCAGACGTTTTGTCTGCTTTATCTTGTCACACTTTTTGTCTAAGTCTAGTCTCTATCTGAGAGAAAAAAACAATGTAATTGTCAATTGCAATAAAAATATAGATATTAATAACATTAATATCTATTTGCTTCATTTAGAATCATTAATATCTAGTAGCTTCATAAGCCCCTGCTTACACTGCTCTAGAAACTCTTTGTGGTCATGACCAAACCTTTACACTCAAAGCCTCTGAGCACTGTGTTCTCTACTTTGGCCGCTGGACTACAAAAGTCACTCAGCCTCATTAGGGAATCAAACTCACAACCTCTCTTTTCCTCAACACTCTTCTATTGCTCTGTGCTAATCTAATCTGAGACAATTCTCAGAGCTTTTCACTTTTTTCTTTCAACATTCGTCTTCAAATACATAGATTTGTGTGAGGATCAAACCTGCATCGTCAAAACTTCTAATTGGCTTTCTAACATCATGAGCTATTTAACCCGAGGCACTTTCCCTCTTTTCGCCTGAGCTTTTCACTTTTCTCCTCTGGATGTCCAACTTATTGAGTATAATGAATATATGGTGAATATTTGTATGGTTGTGAATGTTATCAGATGTGCATTTTGAAGCAGACTTAATACACATGTTAATTTGATTCAGAATCAGAAATACGTTATTGATCTTCAGGGGGAAATTTGTTAATTGCCACAAAGTCAGTGCCTGAAATAGGCCAGGGTACCGGCACTTCTGCTTTTTGTCCACATTCAATTCAATTCAATTCAATTTTATTTGTATAGCGCCAATTCAGAACAGAAGTTATCTCAGGACACTTTTCAAATAGAGCAGCACCGAACTCCTTATACATTTACAGGACCCAAACATTACCACCATGAGCAAGCGCCTTGGCGACGGGGCAAGGAAAAACTGCCTTTTTAACAGGCAGAAACCTCGGCTTGCCTTGACCAGTTGGGGGGAGAAGAGAGAGAGAGAGAGACATTGAGAGACAGAGAGACAAACAGATGTACAGCAACAACAGAAGCAACAACTACATTAACCAGTAATGATCGATGACGATCATGAAAAAGACGGTGACGACGGCGACACAGCAACGACAGGACAGCGAGCAGCGACAACAGCAACCGCAGCCAACAACAATATAATTTCCAAAACCTTATATAATAACTGATAATATCAGTGATATTAGCAATGGCCAGTCTTGCACGACCATGGCCGGAGGCTCCACCAGATCCATGAGAACCTGCAGGACATAAAGCACACAAAACTCCGGGAAGAGTGAATTTATATACATGCATTAATGGGACATGATGAGTGCAGAAAGAGAGAGAGAGGAAGAGACGGAGCTCAGTGCACCATTGGGAAATTCCCCTGATAGTCTAGGCCTATACAGCATAACTAAGGGATGGCTTCAGGACTCACCTGATCCAGCCCCTACTATAAGCTTTATCAATAGAGAAATGATGTACCTCTTACTTCTTTACTGAGTACCGCCAGAGCCATACCCCCCCCCCCCTCCCAGTATTTTTTCCAGTACAATATTAGTATACATAAAAGCTTGAATAATTGTCCTAAAAATACACTTTGTCGATTCTTGACGGGGGTGTGAAGCCCCGCTTTAAAACCTGAGTTCTACTGAGGAGCCACTCTGTCAATCAGGCAAGCCTTGTTTTTCTGAAGTTAAAACAATTTATTAATTTAAAAACAAGAATAAAACCTTTTAAAGTCTTTAAAAATGAGCGTCTCGGACCGCAGTGGCTTCTCCTCTCCTTGGTCCGAGGGGATGGTGGATGGTGGATGGGGAACGAGTATAAAGGCAGCTTAGCAGGAAGATAGCCCTCTCGGCTGGCAGGCGTGACTTTCTGCCTTGATATAACCTTCAGGCCCAGTAGGGATTTTCCAATCCCAATCCAACTTTTATTTGTTAAGCACTTTAAAAACAACCAAAACAGTTGACCAAAGGTGCTGTACAGGAGAATAAATAAGAATCATGAATGTAAACAGTGATGGTGAATGAAGACCACTGTGAGGGAATATGAACAGTGAGGTGATAACACTGGAAGTCCCGTGCAGATAAGCATGGACGAAGTCCCGACGGCGACGAGCTCGGATTCCGGGCTGATTGATCGAGCGAATGCGACTTAATTGATCATGTAAGAATTTCATCGACGACGTTAATTTTCATTGATAAAACTAATGCAAGGTTCTGTTGCGTAGTGTGAGTCTTGAGGAATGTAATGAATTTCTCTATTGGTCAGCAATTAAACATTTTAACGCAGCACGGGGGCCAATATGAAAAAAACAAACAAAAAAAAAAAACACAGCAGGCCCCTATCCAGTTACCTGCGAGTTTCCATGTATTTCCAAAAGTAATCATGAAGAGGAAACGAGGTCACAGCGAAGTGTGGTGTGGGATCATTTTGATTTAAACAACGACTTAGTTCACTGCCCAACACTGACGTCGACTGAGAGCAGGATGCACCCGCCAACTAACCAGGGGTCGGATGGCTTGTTCAAGTGGTACATCATTTGAGTTGGCGTGTTGTACTTATCACAGCTTCACAGTGTTGGCCAGTGAACTAAGTCGTTGTTTAAATCAAAATGATCCCAAAACCGACACTTCGCTGTGACCTCGTCCTCTTCATGATTACTTTTGAAATACATGGAAACTCGGCAGGTAACTGGTTAGCCTGTGGTGTTTTTTTTTTTGTTTTTGTTTTTTTTCAAATATTGCCCCGTGTGGTAAAATGTTTAATTGCTGCCACAAATAGAGAAATTCATTACATTCCTCGAGACTCAGCCACTACGCACAGAACGTGCATTAGTTTTTATCAAGTGAAATTAACGTCGTCGATGAAAGTTCTTAATGATCAAATTAATCGATCGTCGATCCAACTCAGCCGGACCCATCGACTCGTCGCCGTCGACTTCGTGCCCATGGTTATCTGCCAAACGGGAACTTTCCAGTGTTATCACCATCTGTTCATGATTCCTCACAGTGGTCTTCATCACCAATCAAGTCTGTTTACATTCATGGATGGTCTTTATTTATTCCTCCTGTACAGCCACTTTGGTCCCCCAACTTTGGTTTGTTTTTAAAGTGCTTAACAAATAAAGTTGGATTTGGATTGGATCCGCTACTGGGGCCTGAAGGGGTATATAAGGGCAGAAGTTCAGCCTGCCAGCCAGGAGGTGCTATCTTCCTGCTGAACGCTGCCTTTTATAACTCAGTTCCCCAATCCAGCCTCCACCAATCCCCTCCGGACCCAAGGGAGAGAGCCCACTGCCGTCCGACTGCTCCGATTTTGTAAAGACTTTTAAACAGTTTATTCTTTGTTTTTAAATTAAATAAATTGTTTTAACTTCAGTTGACTGGCTTGCTGAATTGACAGAGTGCTCCTCAGTAGAACTCAGGTTTTAAAGCGGGGCT